TCTAAGGACCGGTACTTATTTGTCATCCGTGCTATACAGTTCTACGTGCTGGATCAAACAGTAATCCTGACATTACGACATGGCCAAAGATCCTGTAGAACTGTGTCAGCACATAGCTGCTTGCGAGAGGAAATTAGAGGAGAATGATCACCGTTTGGATCAATTTGCTCAGGCTTTCAGTACGCTTCTCTCTAGAACGGCACATCTGCAGCCTGCAGCGTCTCCTCCTATAGCACCTCTACCCTGTGTATCTCCACCCACTGTTAATAGGACTCTTAGCATCTCCTTATCACCATCCCTACAGTTTGATGGCAATATCCAGGAATGCAGGGGTTTTCTTAATCAGGTTGTTATAAACTCACTGCTTTTGAGGCCTCACCAGGGTCGTTCCCAACGGACAGAGCAAAAATTAGTTATCTAATGAATCAATAAAAGGGCAAGGCCCTTGCCTGGGCATATCCATTGTGGGAGAGTAATCGGAGCATAGCTCAAAATTACCAGGAATTCCTTGCCGAATTCAAGCTCATGTTTGAGCCATTGGGTAGAGAGGATGATGCCTCCACTGCCCTAATGCACATCAGACAAGGTAACCGGTCTATCTCGGATTATGCTATTGAATTCCGTACCTTAGCTTCCGAGGTAGACTGGACTAACAATGGGTTAATTTCAGCATTCAAAAAGGGTCTCTCAGAGACTATACTAGATGAGATAGCCGCTAAAGAAAGAATTACCCAAGAGTCTTAAGAAATTTATTACGTTTGTCATGCAGATTGATAATAGGTTAAGACTCCGAGAAGTCACCAGAAGCAAGACCAGACGTACGGCTCTGTCCCTAGCACCTCAATTCTCTAAACCTGTTTTGTCTAACCTCCCTGTACAGTCCGAACCTATGCAGTTGGGGGTCACAAGACTGTCGGAGGCCAAAAAACAGTATAGGAGAAGGGAGGGGTTATGCCTATATTGCGGTAGAAAGGGACATTTGATAACTAATTGCCCAGTGCGTACGGAAAACTTCCGCAGCTAAGAACCTTAAGAAGACAGATCTTAGGTGTGATGGAGTTGTCCTCTAACAAAAACAAAAGTAGATTCCTCCTTGAGGTATCTATTTCCCTTGATAACAAGAAGTTTTCTTGCAGTGCCCTAATGGACTCAGGTGCTGCTGGAAATTTTATTGATGTCCAGTTTATTAGGGGTAATGAGATACTGGTCAGGGAGAGACCTACACTGCTAGCTGTAGAAGCTATTGATGGTAGACCACTCACACAACTGCTTATAACCCACGAAACTGTCCCTATTGGGGCCTCCCATAGGGAGGAGATGACGTTTCAGGTTATTACTTCTCCATCATGTCCTATCATATTAGAGTTTCCTAATATCCCTATATTGACTGGGCTAATGGGGAGATATTAGAATGGGGTAAAGAGTGTATGGGGAGATGTATAAAACCAGTACTGAAGAGACTGGATACTATTGACCTTCCCACTACCACTCCCCAAACCCCTGGAGTTCCCATACAATACCGAGAATTTTAGGAGGTGTTTAACAAGGCTCAATCCGATGTATTGCCTCCCCACAGAGCATATGACTGTGCAATTAACCTGTTTCCAGGCGCTATGCCACCTAAGGGGGCCGTTTATGCCTTATCTCCCCAGGAGAGTAAAATAATGGAGGAATACATCAAAGAATCCTTGAGCAAAGGGCACATATGAAAGTCATCCTCACCAGCTGGTGCAGGATTCTTTTTTGTTGAGAAAAAGGGTGGTGAGTTACGCCCTTGCATAGACTACAGGGCACTTAATAAAATCACTGTAAAAGATGCATACCCTATCCCACTCATTTCCGAATTGTTCGATGGACTTCAGGGAGCTAAACTATTTACTAAGCTTGACCTTGCGGATTGGCGTATGTGGGACGCACGAAAAAAGAAAAAAGAAACAAGAAACTTGCACACTAGAATACAGGAGCACATTAGAAATATTAGAAATGGTTTTGAGAAACATAGTGTTTCTTTACATTTTAAAACACGATAGTGATCCCACTTTATTAAAATTTCATGCGATACAGAAAATATACCTGACTGGAGGGGGGGGGGGGTGGGGGGGATTTTATTAAGAAATTTTGGCCAAAAGGAAATGCAGTGGATTTTTAATTTAAACACTATGCAGCCTAATGGTCTGAATGATGATTTTGAGCTTTGCCATTTTTTTGTCATAGATTTTTTTATTCAAGAATATTTTTTAGTATTTTTATATATTTTTTCTTTTTTCTTTAAATTGATAGTAT